GGGCGAGCGGGGAGCTGGGGGGTGCTGCCGGTGGCCCCTCCGGGCAGGGTGACGCCGACCGACAGCTGCCTCAGGGGTGCGCGGGGAACGCGTGTCGAGCGCCGGAGGGCGACCCGGGAGATAAACAGAATTTGAGTTGCGCGGGCTCTGAGGTGGGGTGTGCGTGAGGGGAGTGCAGCGCTCCCGCATTGCGAGCAACGAAAAGCACCGTTATCTTCAGATTTCTTTAAAAATCTAAAGGCCGTTCCCAATGACCGCATTGTACGCGGTGGCACTGGTTCTGCGTGCCTCTGAACGCGTGCTGCTTGTTGCTGTAAAACGTGACTTACCCGAAAATCGAGTGCGGCAGGTCAAGGTGCTCGATCTGAAAGGATTAACTGTGTATGGTTTTGTTGCCACAGGAACAAGAAGATTGTTGATTATTCTCAGTTTGGGGATTTGGAAGACGATGGTAAGTGGCGTGTTCTCCTATGTAATGAAAATGCCAAACGCTAACGTGACCAGCCAAAACGTCATCAAAGCATCTTCAGTGAGGTCATTCATTGAGAAGGCTGTGGGCTGTTTTCACTGGCAGTAATCGGGGCACACTGCAAATACGCTAATTTCACAAGAATACGGTGCCTGTAAGCCAGAGGATAACAACAGTGCATCAGGAAACTGGTGAATATGTTGTGTCTAGTTGCGGGAAAACCTGTTCCTTCCCCACCTCAGTTTTCCGTGGTAGGTGGTTGGTCCATGTCCTCCTGATTATCAGTCCACAAGGTTGTAAATCAGAATACGAAGGAGGCATGAATCATCTGTACGCAGATCTGACGTTTCTCCTGCAGCTCTGTGTCTTGATGGGTTTGGGTAGGGACACAGCAATCAAGTGTTGAGTTCTGTTGATAAGGAAAATAGGTTGCAGGCTGTTTGTTTTCATGACAGTCCTCCTTTACTTGTAAGCCCTAATGGGTGTTCTGTGTTTTTCTTACAGAATTTGGTTGCTTCCATGTTGGGTTTTTTGTTTCCGTGCTGTTTGCAGGATGCAGGGAGCAGTCTGAATTGGTGGGAAGGGGAGGGCAAAAGTGAATAATGTTGAAGGTCTTTTCTGAATTGTGGGGATTGATGGAGATTCTTGGTTTCAGGAGTTTAAATGTGGTGCATGACTTTTCTTAGTTTGTAAGTGACCACTTGTAATATTAAAGTGTAAATTCTCATAATGGTTAGTGGTCTTATCTAAGGTTCTCTATCATTTAGAGAATATGAAAGATTATTATTTTTTTCCTTATTTTACGCTGTGACCTGCAATGTCTTCAGTGGGAAGAAAGACAATTTTAATGCCTTCTAATTGTCTTGAAAAATTGGAGAAATACATTGTATTTGATAAGAGACAACATGAAAATGGTAGAAAAAGGGGAGCATTTTTTAAGGGGAACAATTCCTAAAACACCAAGAACTCTAAAACTGTTAAATGACAGTGATTACTATTATAATTGATTGCTGTTCAGCATATCAAAAGGTGAACTTCTAGTTATTGAAAATCTGGTAACATGTTGGACAATTAAGCTTTTTATTTGCCATATTGGTAATACAAGTTTAAATAATTACCTCTTGAATAAAAGTAAATGCAAAAGAGGTCTTGTTAAATTTTCATTTAAATAGATTTAAGAATAGTGTAGTTATAGTTGTTGTGTTCTTTAAAAACAGAATTAATTCCAAGAAGATTACCTTTGGTATATTTTCAGTGTGTGATGAAATTAAGCTGACTGACTTCTTTTAGTCATATGGAAGAATGTAGGAAAATTCATTAAAGCCTGTTGCTTTTTTCCGAACAGATGAAGACTTTGCATGTATAGCTGCACCTTCAAGCAAGAAATCCAGAACACAGCTAAAGGATCCAAAGAAGGAGAAAAAAGAGAAGCAAAAAAACCCACACAAAGAGTTGACTTCGTCACAAAAGCAGACACCTAGTAAAAGGTAGGAAATGTTGAAACGTGTCTGACTGTGTAAAGCTGGATTTCAATAATAGTATTCAGATATTTTTTTTTTTTCCCCCAAGAGTTTTAAGCAGCTAAGAATAAACGACTAACATATTAATGTGATAAAGATTTTCGGCTTTATTGGTATAGTTGCAAATCAGGGATAATGGGATTGTGCACGGTCGGGAAAACTTACTTGAGCTCAGTAGTGAGCTATGTCCATTTTGTTACAGCTCTAAAATTTAGACTCCAGCAAGCAGCCTGCGTAGGTGCAGAAGTAGGTTTCTGTGTCTGATCTTGCTGTGATATCTCTACGGTGCAAAATAACTGTAACAATTCTGAGTTACCTAAGGAGTCCTAAAACTGAGAAATATACAGACAAGTTTGGCTCCTTAACAAAGAATATATGTAAAGCTTGATAGAAAATACAAAGTCAATGAAAAAAGAAATCTGATTATTTTGGTGGTAAAGTTGTGTGTAAATGTTACATTTCAGTGTGTTATTTCACACAAACATAATCACCTTTTTCTGTGATAATGCCAGTTATTGGTGCATTTATATATACACAATGTTTTGCAATTATGATACTTGTAAGTATAGTATGCTTTAGATATTAGTGTTTACTTTGTCTAAATCATTTTGGGAAGTAATGTTCATAATATGATATACTATAAAGTATGTGTTGAAATGTTAATCCCTTTACAAGTATTTGAATTTAAAGAAGTTCAGTGACTCAAAAGTAGATCTATACCACTCATGACATTGTTTTATTATTTAGCATGTTTGGGTTTTTTGTTTTGTTTTTTTTCCAGAATATCCTTGGATGACAAACTTTATCAAAGAGATTTGGAAGTTGCCTTAGCCTTATCTGTCAAAGAAAAATCTACAAACATCCTTGAGGTGCAAAATTCAGAAGAACAAGGTTATTTTACAGTTCAATGCAAAACTGTTTATTTGTATGTAGTGAATTAAAACATGACATAATTTCTTTTACGGTGAAATGGGTCAAAAGTCATGTTTTATTTCAAGATGTCATGATAAGGAAAGAAGAATTTCTAGGTAGTGCCTGTCTTCTTATGTTCATGTTTTTTCCTGTGAGAAGAATAATTCTTCTTTAAGATCTTCCAAACATATATTTTTGTTAGAGACAGATAAAAACGTTAGCTATTTTCATTTCTTAATATCTTGACTTTTTGTAATGTGCTTTTTGAATACTAATATTTATATTATTTTTGTTTGTTTGTTTTCTGGATCCTAAAACAGGTAAGAATACTGAATCAGAACATGTACATAGGAGACCCCTTTTTTCCAACTGCAGTGTAGACAGTGAACTTTTAGGTAAGTTGTTCTCATACTCTGTCTTTTCAGAAATAGCATTTCAAGACATGTTTAAGGAGCTTATCTCTTTGTTTCCATTGGTTTGTATTTTTCATTTCTGTGGGGAAAAAAGTCTGAAGTAAAGACCTGAAGAATGAAGGATTCAGTAGTCTTTTCATTGAAAATTTGGTCTCAGCCTTATAAAGGGAAAACCTCTGGATTGCTGAATGAGATTGTTACAGATCACTAAAAGGTAGTTGGAAAAAGCAACAAGACGTGAGGCTTGTAGATGCTAAGTTTATTTACTTCTTCAAGAAGCTACGCTTACCCTCAGTTCCTTAATGGGTCCATAATGCCCAAGTGTCAAGTAAATGTGACCAAAACATTTGCCGGGCCACTGGAAACTTTTTCATTTTTCCAGTTTTATTTTTGGTCTTCTGTCCTTTCATTAGTTTGATTAAAGATAAATATTGGTAACTTCCACAACCAGAAAGTACAGTTTGGTCAGTTAAAACAGTAAAATGAGAATCACGTGAAAACGAGTGTCGATGATGTTCTTCTGTGTAGTGTACTTCAAAATCACAAAAACGAATTCTGGGGACTCGCATATCTGCTTCTTTTTGAGTAGGAGAATAGTTGTACTGTGAATTTGAATTAATTAGACCACCTTCTATTTTCCAGGTCTCAATCAGGTTATGGATGATGACGTACCTAGGGGTGACTGTAGGCAAAGGACAGCAGGATCTAAAGTTCCAGCACATCAGAAGAAGTTACTGACCGTTGACAGTGATGGTGGAGAGCATGTTACTGACTCAGAGCCAGACTCTGTACCCAGTAGGTTCTTCTCTATAAAAACCCTCTCCTAATATGGGCTTTGAAAGCGATGCCTTGTGGGGTTTTTTTATGCGTTTTCAGTGAAATGCGTACTGCTTCTACTCTGTCTTCCCCCCACCCCCCCTTACTGAAGCATAATCTTGTAATACTTGGGCATCTCAATTGCACTTGGACACTAAATCTGAACATTGGAGCTTATTCATACACATTCCCCAAACTGGCAAAAATGATACTTATTCTGTGCATTTGCTGCAGGATGTCATAACAAATTTATTTTACCCTCTTTCTGCAGGAAAGTTTCATCTCTTTAAAGAGCCCCTTTCCTTTTTTCCAGGCATTGTCTGGGGTTTGCATCAAAACAGTGACTCTGGAGTAGAGTCAGATGTTAGTGCGTTTAGGATTAGGTTTGTTTAAGCTTATTTAAAAAAAAATAGGTAGCCTCCCTGCTTTCCTTATTCCAGTTCTCAACTCTTAGAAAACCATGCTGCATGCAGTTGGAGGTCAGGCTAGCCTCATGCTCTGCGTCTGGTAGCAGCCCAGTATCGAATGCCTGCAGAGCATGGTAGACGTCTCTCTCTCATGCCCCAACGGTTAACGTGTCTGTATCCATTCTTTTATTTGCTACTGCAAGGTTTATTGGAAAGTATTTCTAGACTTGTCAGTGAAATAAAATATCAGGGAATAATCCAGATATTCCTGTTGATAGAGAACTATTTTTAAGATTTGTTAGTATCTGGGTTTTTTTAATAATAAATCTATAAAATCTTTCTTACAGTTGAAATTAGACATAATGTTTTCCCACTTTAATTTGTCATGACTAAGAAGATGTAAAAATCAGAAGCCCTGCCAAATGATTTTAACTTTTTCATCTTGCACATGTGGAACATTGGTATTTCTGCTGTTAAAATCGTTGTTGTATGCCGTTTATACCAGGGTGTTCTGTTATTAAAGTACGGAGCAAGAATTGTGTAAGTACAGAATGATTTATGAAGGGCACTTCTTTCACAGTTCAGCATATAAACATGTGCGAATTCATTTTACTATATCCTGAAGATACCCTGTTTTTTTATGTCCAGAATGTGATTAGAAGGCCCTGGAGTAATAGTAAATTGTATTTCCTGTGAAGAGATGACATCCATTTTCCTTGCTGTAGGTGAGGAGTCAGAAGAAGATACAGATTATAGTGAAGGTGATGATGAAGACTTTGCTATGGAAAAGAGGAAAACCAAAAGAAATAAAAAGAAAACCAAACAAAAGATGCCAGCAGAAAGAGAGAAGAAAACTCCCAAATCAAAGATTAATGCTACAGGTAAGTTTGTACTACAAATTTGAAATAGACTTCTTTATTATAAAGTTCCTTTGATTTTCATTGAAGGAATAGATAAATTTGGCAGACAGGCTGACTGCAGGGTTATGATGAAAATGACTGATTGCACAGTAGAGTGAGGAGAGTAGAAAAAATTCTGAAAGAAAACACTTATAGTAAACTAACACTCCTTACGATAAAAGCAAACATAAGAGAACAGACAAAGTCTTTTTGTATAACAATACCTAGCTTTTAAGAAAAGGTTAAGTAACACTGAATGATCTGAGGATTTTTTTTTTTTAATTATAATCTCAGACCTTCCCCTTGTATTTGCATTTATGGTTTTTTTAATTCAAGGACACCTAAACAATGCTAGTTCTGCTAACCACTTGGCGAAAAAACTAAATATACATGTCCTTCAGAATTAATTGTTCACTGTGTTGCTAACACAATGTACTTTAAGTAGCTTAAGAAGATTCTTATCATGGTGTTAATCTTGTGTCTGACTTGGTAATGTGTTTTAATTTCAGGCCTGAGTTTACAACATGTGATTTAGTAATTTAGTTTATAATTAGTTTTAGTTACAACAAGGAATGGTTTGCTTTGTGTAGGTGACAGAAGCATCTTCCCTCTTAGAAATTTGATATCTGGCAGGTCTTCAAACAGAAATTGTTACATTGCTTATTTTCAAACCAAGACTGAAATTCCGGAGTATGACAGGACTGACTGTATAAATATATACTGTTGAAGATGCGACAGTCTAGTCACGTACTCTTTATTTCACTCGGTTTGGAAAGCTCATGCTATATAATGATCTACCATCTTATGCAGTGTGATGAGTTCTCTGCTAAAGAGTATCTTTCTAAGGTCGCTTTTATTTTCCAAACTAAGCATCACCTGCAGTTTCTCCTTCACGGATAACAGAACAAAAGTCTGAGCCAACACAAAAGATGCCATCCAGTTGCTCAGAACCAGTTGGGAAGCCTTTACATACATCAAGTCCTGTAACAGACAAGAAGCCGAAATGGATACCACCAGGTACCTGTAAGATTGTAACTATAAACAGATACATTAACTGACTGAAGTTTTTAGCAAAACAAACAAAAAAAACAGTATTTAAGAAAAATTACTGCACTCTTATAATGAAAGGTATTCTTTTGGCCTGAGATGTTAGAACAAAAAAAAAAGAATAAAAGAAAGAAAAGCTATCTCCATGCTTCTTTTCCTCTTGCAGCATTATCCTTAACCCCTTTATATGGGGAGGAGAATAAAATGTTTTCCGGAGTGTGGATCAAATCTTAATCAAGAGATTTTCTTGTGGCCTTTTCTCTCTTAATAAGAGCTTTTTTATCTCTGGTACGTGCTGCGTTATGTATTCTAAACAGATAATATTAGAAAAATGTTGAAGTGTTTTAACTACAGTAGTAAAGCAGATGCTTAGAAGCTTTTGTTTTCTTAACATGCTTGAGCATGCTGCTGCTGACTCCTGCCTCTTTCTTTGATTTTCCTTCATATTTGCTCTTCTTTTCTGTAGACATTTCTTTCTATTTGGCTCCTTTTTCTCAAGCCTGCTGTTCCCACTTGGAGTTGTGTTCAGTTGTGTGATTCTCTGTGGAGTATCTGAAAACATGCAGGACACCGGGAACAGTTTTTATGTGCTTGTCCGGTGTTGCTCCAGTGTGTTGCTGGTTAATTAAAACTGTGCACCATACCTGCTGCAGGGGCTCCCAAATAGATTGATCCCAGTGAGTTGGTTGATTTTCATGTGCTTCTGTAGTATGATGTGCAGACTTTTTTGCAATATCTTTGTAATTCTTTTTTTGTTGTACTGTGATAACTGTAAAAAGACAACAGTCATATGATTCCCCCCCACCCCCCAAACTTCTTACAACTTTTTTGTTTTAAAATTATTTTCAGCTCCCTCAGGAAGCAGTAATAACTCTGTGAAATATGTTTCCGTTAAGTCACCTACTCAGTGTCTTAGACTCGGCCTCTCCAGACTAGCAAGAGTCAAACCACTGCATCCCAGTGCTACCAGCCGTTAAGTGGTCAGTGACGGAGTGCCACGTGAAGGAAACGATTTTGGAAAGTGTTTTGCTTATAAATAGAAGGTGGACAGCAAAAGCTTCATGGCATTGCATCGTCAGTTTTGGAGGTCTGTTCTTTATGTACGTGTCTAATACTATAATGAGTTTTTATTCTTTGAAATGCTAGGCAGCCGTAAATGCTACTGAATAATAATATTATTTAATCAAGGTGGCATCTGGGTCACCAGCTCTTTGATGCATTATGCTCAGAGATGTGTCTTTGTGGTAATTTTAATTCTCTGATACCTAAGCTCTTGGCATGAAAATAGTCCAGACAGCACTGTGTCAGTTATAGAATTTGATGTATCAAATGGATTCTTAACACAAGTGAAAAGTCAGTTTAAAAAAATATTTCTTGGCAGAGCAAAATTATCACTTTCCACCCCCTTCTTGGAAAGTTTATCACCACTGTCTCAAAATCTGTTAATGTTTGCATATCTTACATGTGGATTTTAATAGAGTTTTTATGTATTATAGATATGTTTTTTAGAATGTTGTATTTAAAAAAAAACAAAATAAAATACTTTATATAGTTTAATCTTATTAATTGACTTCCTTAATTTTGAAAATAGCTTCTAAATTTTGGCTGCAGCCCGGCAAATAAGGGTGCATACCTGTATTGGAAATCAGCGTCATTAGCCAGGCTCAGACGGTGAGGATTTTGCTTTGAGCTCCTTGGTCTTTGTTGAAGACCGTGCGTAGTTAGTGGATTTGGTAAAGTGTTAAAGTGATAGGTACTGAGCTTTCAAACTTTGTCCACAATGTAAATAATTTCCTATCTAAGCATGTTGCAGGTGACACAGCAGATGCATTTCTTCCTGTATTACTTAAGGGAGTTGGTCATGACCGAGTGAATTGCATTAACAAAGGGATGTGTAGCCCCATTCAGAGTAATTACACAGACAGCAGCGTGGCACTGCCTAAAATAAAGCTATGGTATGACAGATTACTTTTTAATTCTATAGTACTTACATTATTAAAACAAGGTACTAATAAATGCATATTTTTAAAAAACAATATGTATATTGCCTTATGGAAGGAATGAGAAGAAATCTGTGGATGAAAACCTCTTCCTCAGAAACAAGGAAATGTGGGCATTGTGGCAGCGTCTTGCATCATCCACATGTTGGATGCCTGACCCCTGGCATGGAATCACACAGCCCGAGTGAAGCGTGGTCCAGTGAGCTGGGCTCATCAGCAGGGGAGGGACCAGCCTGCTGTCTCGAGTGCGTGTCTGACTCGTTCCCGAGTTGCCTCAGCTTGCTGAAATGGCACATCAGAAAAGCAGAAGTTGCAGCACGTTGCCATTCATGAGCTTGGAACTATTTCCGAACAGGGGCTAAAGCAGGAGTACCCACTGGAGGGAAGGTAGGGATCTGAGAGTAACGCTCGTGACAACTGGCGTGTAGTGTGTATGTGATGTTACTCCTCTCCTCGATTCCCTTTGTGCTTACTTAGGTCGCCCCTTTCTGAGGTGTGCCGTGGGTCAGCGGCCGCAGCAAAGCGGGAAGCGCAGAGAGCCTTGGCCCCCAGGGGGGTTTGTTGCAGCCCCCCACTCATGCTTTGGTCCTTTTCTTTCCACTGGGGGCGGCCACACAACAGAACAGTCCCTGACTGCGTCGCAGTCACCAGGTCTCTGAATTAAAATTTGACTGTCATGAATTGTTTTGCTTTTATGGTTTTTTTTCAGGGATAAATATGATTTCATGTAGTTGCGCATTTTCTTGCTACAAGGAAATTTATGTAACAATGCAAAGTTTCTTTTTAACGTGGTGCTTCAGGAAAGTCTACAGCCTTTAGATGTAGTAACCTACTTTTTCCCCCATTCTCCTTTCATCCTTTTTTTTTTTTTTTCCTCTACAAAACATTTTATTTGAGATTTGTGTTCCTCTGGTTTCAATCTTGGCGCCTTTCAAAAATTACATAATTTGCAGTCTGTCATCTGTCCTTGAGCCCCTCCCTAAGTTTGTGGAGGATTTTCCAGTATTTCTCAACTTTTTTTTTGCTGAGTGAAAATTCCATGAAGGTGGTGATATAAAAAAAAAGAAGTCTTTGTAAGGAAAGTCATAAATGTTCTTGACTGTGTGTTTCAAAGCTACTCTGTACCTGATCTGAAGAAAACAGGTCTTGCTGGTAGGTGGAGACTGTTTTTATAAAGGGTGACTTGCTTTGTGTCCTAGGTTATTAAAGGATGTGGTCAGAAGCAGCCAAATTGATGTAGGGACTGTAATTGTTAAAAATTGTTGTTTTTTTCTGTTAGTAATAGAGAGATTGTCTGTGTTATTCCAGCTGCTTTCAACCTTGGAAAATTAATTTTTTGCTGCAAATAACATGGTTCCCTCATTGCTCTAAATTTTAAACAAAGCTACACTGAATTGCATCATTTCTCCGATAGTTGCACAATGATAAGGCATGAAATGCGCTTCGATTTCAGCTGTTAAAGCGATCAGAAAGTGTGTTGGTTTGCGTGTCATGAGTTTACAGTTTTCACATACTTGGTGTTTTAGAACTGCATCTGTATTAGTAAAAAAGACGAGACAGCTTTGCTGCCAACGCCCTCAGAGTGACGGACGGCCGGGAGTGGATACCCTGCCCGGCCTGGAGATCGCCTCTCGCTTCAGAACAGCAGAGGGTTTTTCCAGCGCTGACTGCGACTCCGGGTATTCCTAGCGATGGAACCAGCTGCACGGTCGTAGCAAGCTGCCTTTGCAGGGCTGCATGAGCCGTTCGTTTGCTGCACCCACGGGGACGCAGGCTGGTCAGACAGAGCAGGGCTGCGTCACAAAAACTCTCGGTGGAATTCCACCAGCCTGAAGAGGCCGGGCTCCAAGATTCAAAGGCTTGGTCTGACACAAGCTTAAAAAAAAGCCAGTTGAAAATGGCTAAATTTTAGAGACGCAGCAGCATGAAATTGCTTCGAGTATTCATAAAGCAGATTTATGTACCTCCAGACATCCAGTGTCATTGGTGCATCTCTCCCTTCCTACTCTCTCTGAGAGTACTGGAAATGCCACAGGAAGAGAGGCGGAAATCGCCAGACAAGCAAGACCAGCAGAAACCTACAAAGCGAAAAAAGTCAAGGACGAGGATTGGTGGGGTAGGTCTGTGTGTGTGGGGACACCTACGGCACCTCTGCACGCTCTGTGCCACAGAGACTCGGCTCTAGACAGAGGTGATTGACTGGGCATTGCACGGAAGACGTGTCTCTCTGCATGAAGACCCGTGAATGACAGCTGGGCAATTTACATCGGTGTCTTGCCACAGCAATTCTGAAGAACTGCTAGTTTAGCAGTACCTTTTAATGCATTAAGGTTTAGACTTCAGATTTGATACTCCTAATAATGAATGCAGAGAATTATTTGAAGGAGGATATTCAAATATGATATAAAATGAGATCAGGGCTCAGCCTTCTGGATTTGGTTGAACACAGGGTTTCAGAAGATGCTGAACGGACCCGCAGCAGAAGTGTATATAGAACCTCCAGCATCAGAATGAACAGAATAGAGTAGAATATTTCAGCTGGAAGGGACCTACGGGGATCACCTAGTCCAACTGCCTGACCACTGCAGAGCTGACCAAAAGTTAAAGCACGTTGTCAAAGGCATTGTCCAAATGCCTCTTCCACACTGACAGGCCTGGGGCATCAACCACCTCTCTTGGACACCTCTTCCAGTGTCTGACCACCCTCTCGGTAAAGAAATGCTTCCTAATGTCCAGTCTGAACCTCCCCTGGGGCAGCTCTGAACCATTCCCACGTGTTCTGGCACTGGATCCCAGGGAGAAGAGCTCAGCACCTCCCTCTCCACGTCCCCTCCTTGGGAAGCCGCAGAGAGCAATGAGATTGTGCCCAGCTTTCCTTTCTCCAAACCGGACAGACCCAGAGCCCTCAGCCACCCCTCACAGGCCACGGCGTCCAGCCCTTCCTTCCACCAGCTCTGTTGCCCTGCTCTGGAGGCATTCAAGGACCTTCACAGCCTTCTGAAATGGTGGGGCCCAGCCCTGCGCCCAGCACTCAGGGGGAGGCCGCACTGACTCTAAATACAATGCAACTGTTGAGCCTGCTGCCCACCAGCAGCTCCAGATCCTGTTCTGGAGGGCAGCTCTCCAGCTGCTCCTCTCCCAGTTTATACTTGTGCCTGGCATTACTCCATCCCAGGTGCAGAATCTGGCATTCGTTCTTAAATTTCATGCCCCTGATGATTGCCCAGTGCTCCAGTCTACCTCTATCCCTTTGCAAGGCCTCTTGTCACGTTCAAGAGAATGAGAACCAAGCCTTTGGATCCAGCTTCCTCATTTATGTTCCCTGACTCTTATCCCTACGCAAGGGCTCCATTGCATAGTCTACGTTTAAAGCCCGTAGAAAATTCACATGTATTTTCCGTGGGAGTTTAGTTCACTAAGGAGATTTGAAAGTGTGCTAAGGAAATCCGCACTGTATTTATGAAGCCTGGATTTTGCACTGATCTGGAATTCCACTGTGGTATTCAGAGAACAGCTGAGACAACATGGTCACAGATTGTTATTTCTATGGTTTTGAAATATCACGGTGGGATAAAGAAGTTGGAGATTTTGATTTGGAAGAATAAATAGTCTTCTTCAAAAGAGAGTTTGATTGGTATTATATGATTTTTTTTTTCTTCATCCTGGTTTTCTAATCTGTGTACAAAGGTAAATTATTTAATGACATAAACCAACAAGCATAACATTAAGAAAAATACAAATAAAAGTCATTGTATACAATTACAGTTGAGGGAGTTGGGGATAGGTAAATAACTGGTTGTGGTGACTGATGAGTTGTAATTTAGGGGAATAGATTGTATAATGTGCACGTAATCGTTGTGATAAAAACCAGTGTTTAGTGTTGGAGATGCTTATTATAAAGTATTTTTCTACTTACTCATAAATTCTTGAAAATTATTTGTTTAGACTTTGTTTCTGTGCTCAGACTCAGACTAGAG